CTCTCCCGTCTCATCTCTACATTCCCCAGGGGGCCCTGCCGGTAATTAACATTGGCAGTTTGTACACACAGCGATAGGGGGCTGAAGATATTCGGAGACGTCTCCGGCGAGCACCCAGGACGTATTCGGAGACGTACTCCCGCTCACAGATGCACTGCTTTGGGGGTCAAACTGCGTATTGTTTGCTTCAGATCACACATATAGCCATTAAAACCGTCGCAAATCAATTATTTTCAAGACAATTTCAAACCTCAAAGCAAAATATCAAATTATGGATTAAAACGAGAAGGGGGGGGGGGGGGGTGATATGCCCCCCTAAACCCTCAGATCGTTTTACTTGGTCCAGGGTCACAAAGCATTGGTCTATCTCCGTTGGAGACGTCTCCGGATAGATACTGTGGTGTGGGCTCTCGTGGTCTAGAGGTTATACTGTTCGCCTCTCATTCAATAGGTACCGGGTTCGTATCCTGACAGAGATGGAAAATTTTCAGCTCTTAAGTAAAATATTGTTCTTCTTTCACCTCTTTTCCTGTTCTTTCATCATGTTCTGTCGTCTGCTTTCGTCCACGCTTCCTGCCCCAACCCCCTCACCTCGTTTGCCCACTCCTCTGTGCCCTGACTCTTTCTGCAGCCTTCCTAGTTTCTAGTCCTACTGCTACTTCTTGGCTCCTTCTTACTCTGTCTTTCAGCTACACTTCTGATCTTATGGTATGCGAGATCGAACACCTAGCCTTCTCAGACAAGGGGGGGGGGGGGGATCTAGGAGGTCTCGTGTGCAAGCTGTGCACGTGAAAGATTCCTTTGTGGTCTTAAAATCGATAAGAGTAGGCTTCAGCCACCACCCGGGAAAAATTCAAAATCGATTCCTACCAATCTGAAAATGCTTAATGTGTCACGCGCGCTTATATGACCTCATACAGTTGCGAGTGCCGTAAAACACGAACAAAAATCAAAACAAACGCACAGCTATTATACCCCACCAGGCCCTTGCTGAGACGTCTACAACAAACGCCGTGTACCCAGGGAGAGGTCCTTGCGCGTACGCGAGTCTGAAGCAGTGAAAACGGCCACGGGACTGTGTAGTATAATGGGAGGAACCATGGTGGTATCAGGCGCGCACTCGTCAAAATAATAAAACCGAAGAGACAGGCATTTTTTCCAACCAGTTTGGCCAATTTTATCGGATTTTTGTTTCCTGTTCAACACCTTTTATGTCCATATAAAAACACATTTCCAAGTTAATCTTACCGAAAAATGTTGATTAAAAGTACAAAATATGTAATTTTGCAGTTTTCTGCTTTTCTCAAGCTGTTGAAGTTAACAAACCTTGGCGCCATTTTCTCGCTAATTTTACCACTCAAACTTATCAATCGCACCTCGTTCAATCGCAGCTATTTCGACTTTTATTCAAGACAGATGGGTATTTGTTTCACTGAAAGCAGGGCAAATGCATACGTTTTCAGATGACACTAATAACTGCACATGCCCAAAGATCGACGAGCGCCTGAGTCCACAGTGTCGTGACACATTTTTGTAAGCTGTCCGTGGTATGATAGTTTACAGCTTACCTTTTAAATGACTTCTACTGCGTGTATGAGGGTGTAATACATTTATGGTCATTGCATGATCATTGAAACCATTTCAGAGCGAAACAGCGGGTGGTTGGAACGAGCCACTATTAGTTAGGCTCTATGGTCTTGCGTACAAAAGTCATGAGTTCGAATTCTGAGCACTGCAGCATTTTGCTTTATCGCTTTATCAAGTACAGGTATCTACATCTGACCTGGTTTGGAACCAAAACAATTTAGGCAGGCGAAATGGCGAGAGAAAAACGTCATTATTTTATTGCGGAAAGGCCCAAGAGGTACTGTCAAATATTTGGAAAGCTAAAAGAGAAGAAGAAGAAGATCCCCATCTGTTTGCTCGACCGGCGTATGTGGTGTAGCGGCTATGCCCTTCACTGTCGTGCGCAGGAGAAGACCTGAGCTCGATTCCCAGTGGGGAACCACAATATTTCCATTGAGTATCTTGGATTTTCTGATAGGATGTTGTATCTCTCTCAGCCCGAGTTGGCCCCGACAGACAGATTCCACAATCCCTTCTCTTAAATGATCTAAATTTTGTCAATGGGAGCGTAAAAACACCTACATTTAAGCCGACCCCAAATGTCGCGGTCTAAAATTTGCTTGACAACACTGAGCACACGATCAGTGGTGACTATGTTGCTGAACTCTCAACCCCACCCCCGCCCCATCCCTCATCTCCTCAGAGTCACAAAGCGTCTATATCCATCGAAAGCCTGGCAGATAGAACCTTCTGGCTCCGGTCTAGCGTCTTGTTTACTCTCAAAGTCTCCGAGAAACACACACGGTGACTCAGTGTGTTGACACGCGTGTCGCGTGTGTTGTGCTCATCACGTTATATGAGGCACACACTTGACCCGTCAGTCGGAGCATCGTTTGTCGAGTTGGGGAAGAAATTCAGCAAGACCAATGCAACCCCCCCCCCCTTCCGCACACACACAGGCAGACTCAAACACATACCCATTTCTTTCAGTTTTCACTCACCACCACTTTTTAGGAATATTGTACTAGTGTCTGACCCAGACGTTTTACTTGTACTATCTTAACATTTGAAACTGCCTCCTTTGTGAGCAGGAAGGAGACAACGGAGCCACGTTTGGAGCCATCCTTTTCTTCATCGCTTGGAGTGTGGTGGGCGTGGCTATCATCCTGCAGGTTGCCAACGCCGTCAGGTTTTGGGCGGGGCCCGGGACTAGGATACACGCCTCCTCCCCAAGTATCTGGCAGATGCAGAAGGTACGAAGGTCAACGGCGTATTGTGTGTGTTTGTGTGTGTGTGTGTTTGTGTGTGTGTGTGTATGTGTGTG